CCTCCTGCCTCAGCCTCCTGAGTGCTGGGATTATAGGCGTGTGCCACCTGCCGAGCTTGAAAGTTTATTCTCACATGTAACCTCCACTCCCTCTGCTGTTTTTCATCCTTTGTCTTCCGTCCAACAGCCTTCCTTTTCTCTTCACCTTGGCTGGTCACTGTCTTTTCTTTCCCAGGTGTGTGTTCCTGCCAGACAACGGCGCCTTCTTCGTCAACTATGTGATCACCGCCTCTTTGCTCGGCACAGGCATGGAGCTCATGCGCCTGGGGTCGCTTTTCATGTATAGTACCCGCCTCTTCTTTTCCCGATCGGAGCCAGAGAGAGTCCACATCAGGAAGGTGAGGTGGGTCCGTCCCTGGGCACAGGCTTTACGGGCTCCAGAGGTGCAGGGGAGGCTGCCTCCAGGCCTAGCTGCAGAAGCCACCAGGCCAAGGGGCCTGCAGCGTCAAGTGACTGCTGCCTTTACCCCAGAACCAGGCCATAGAGTTCCAGTATGGGCGTGAGTACGCGTGGATGATGAATGTCTTCACTGTGGTCATGGCGTACAGCATCACCTGCCCCATCATTGTCCCTTTCGGTGAGTCGTCTCTCAGGCACACGTGGGGTGCCTCACTCAGCCTGGGAGGAGGAATGAAGTCCCACCACACCATGCCACCTTCTTGAGTAAGAAGCGACCCGGGCAGCCTGTGGGTAGGGAGCTGTTGGGGGCTGGTCTGGACAGCTGCTGAAATGGGATGTTTGTTGAATGAATGCGTGAATGAGTGATTTTTCACTGAGCTGCCAGGCCCTGAATCTGGTCTTAGGGGCCTGCGGGGACCACAGGGTAGCTCGGGTCTCAGCTGTCCAAGTGGCCGCTGACTGTGTCCATCTTCGGTGCCCAGGGCTGCTCTACCTGTGCATGAAGCACCTCACAGACCGATACAACATGTACTACTCCTATGCGCCCACCAAGCTGAACGAGCAGATCCACATGGCCGCGGTCTCCCAGGCCATCTTTGCACCACTCTTGGGTCTGTTCTGGATGCTCTTCTTCTCCATCCTGCGAGTGGGTAGGTGCTGGGGAGCCTCCTCTGCTGTGCCCTCTGCTCTGCCCCCCTCCGCAGCCGCACTGTTGGGGGGAAGGTGGGAAGAGCAAGACCTTGTTCATAGGACAGCCCAGCAACTGTGCTGGGTCCACAGGCCATGGATGAGCTCCCGAACAGAGCTTTGTGGCAACGTGGGGCCCAAATTGTCTGCGTTTTGGGCTGGGCAACAATTCCATATTCCTTTATGCTGAATTCAGGCTGAGCGAAAACAGAATGATAGTTGTTGGAGGGATGGGCAATTCCCAGGGCATCTCCCTGGGATCCATGTAGGGTGCCTGGTTGTATGGGTTTGCTGAAAACCTAGAAGAGGAATCCTGCACCTTTACCCTTCCCCCTTGGCAATACCAAGTTGCTGTCTCTGTCCAGGGGAGCCTAAAGGACCCCTCCACGGAAGTCCCCATGGGCCACAGGCAGGGCATCCCTCAACTTTGTCCTCTCAGGGTGGCCATTACCACCAGGCAGCCACTGAGCTTTCCATGGGACACTGCTCTTAACCTTTCCTGTGGGGCAGAGGGCGAGGCACTATTTTCTTTACTCTCACAGTGACATCAGTAAAGAGCCAATTCTTGGTCACTTATTTGTATGGTTTATCCATTTGTCATCACCCTCAATTTCTTTCCCTGCCACCTAACAATTTTTTCTTAACACCTTTTCCCAAGGATAAAGCAGTTTATGTTTATTAGCAAAGATAGAAAAACATGAAGAGGGGCTGGTGAGATGGCTCAGTGGTCTAAAGCACCTGCTTAGAACAAGCTTAGCAAAGCCCAGGGACCACAGTTCAATCCCCCAGCACCACATGCCAGCCAGCCCCGCCCCCTGGTGGGCTGAGCTGGCCACACACACACACACACACACACATAAATAAAATTGAATTAAAAGAAAAACATGAAGAGAGAAAAAGAAAAACATGAAGAGTGAAATTTAAGTCCCCCGTAATGGCCCCTAGAGCTTCCTCTCTGGTGCTCCCTGACCTCCTCAGCGTCTGCCCCCAGGAAAGGAGCAAACTGAGAAAGGGGGGCTGATCTGCTTGTACTTTACCAAATCGTGACCATCCATCATACAGCCTGGAGTCCTGTAGAACAGGACGTTCTGAGCAATCTCCTGTGTTGTTAAGTGGCTCCTTTCAACAGCTGCATTGAAAGCTGTCCCTTTCTGCCGCTCTCCCCCGCTGGACTGGACGCTGAGGCTGTTTACCCTTTTGTGCTATTTCACAGTCACCGCAGTGAGCATCATTAAGCAATCGCCTTTGGCTGTAAAGAGTGATTTTCCATCCTCGTCTAGTTAGAAAACTACTGCCATTAAAAAATGGACTCAGTATTTGCACCTGAAATGTAAATGACTTGTGAATTCTGAATTGCTTTTCAGGGCCATTAGACCAGATAAGTAAGCATGCTCACTCTCCCTGGGTTTGCAGGGAAATGGGGGTGGGGGGTGGGGGGGTGTCATAGACCAAGGCTGGGCCTAGGCAGAAACAGTGACTCAGAGATGCAGGTAAGAAAAGTGCTATGTCGAATGGAGCCTAAAGTGGACAACTAAGTCAATCAGAACCTTATTTTTTTTTTCATGGAATCCACAGACACCAAACTCTTGGGGAAAGGCTGCTGTGCTCCACATCCAGAGCACCTATGGAGGTGCGGAGAGGGCCCCCGGGCACCTGCCAACCATCTCAGCCACCAGACTGCCCCGGCCAGTTCACCGGGCTGCAGCTCCACAGCCAGGCCTTTTCTTCTCTTCCGCAGGTTACCTCCACAGCATCACCTTGTTTTCCTTGACCACCCTTGTAGCTTCCCTGCTTATTGCCTTTTTTGGCATTTTTCTGGGGAAGCTGAGGATATACTCTGACTATGAGGTAAGTGACCGGGCTGCCCTTTCTCCATGAATTCTCCTGACCCAGGGAGACACAGGCCTGCGACATCTCCGTGTGGGGCTCCAGAGCAGCGCAAGACCGGAGGGTCTGGCCTTCCTCTCCGATTGAGGGCTTGGTGTGCAGGCTGGCCCCACCGGAGGCGCTGTCCTCTACCCGGTTGGCCTGTTCCCCTACCACGTGAGTCCAGTCCAGACCCTGACCTGTGAGCGTGCTGAGGCAGAAGATGGAGCCGAGGCGGGGAGGCAAGATGGGGGGCGGGGTCAGCCTGTGCCTGTGCAGTTGGCTCTGGGGGGGATTTTGCCCCCATCCTGTGGCTCTCTGCCAGTGGGGCCCAATCTAATCTTTAAGCCACCAGGGAGAAGGGGGCCAGCCCTGGCATGCTGGCACACAGAACCACACAGCCGCGCTGTGTGTCTACACCAGCGTTTCCCAAAGTGGTGTTGGTGCTGGGGCCCGAGAATGACTCCCAGCAGAAATGCATTTGTTTTTCTAGTTAAGTTTCTGCATTTAGCAGCTGGCATAGGTTTTCTAACTGAATTGTTTTCTTTTCAAGTGAATAAAGGAAAGAAAGTTGGCTCCAAGTGCTGATGCCCTGCTGAGTTGGCAGGAGGAGGGTGTTAGAGGCAGCTCTTCTTGCTTCTCCTGTCGCTGTACTGGGGACTCTAGGCAAAAGTACCCCCACCCTGCCCTTTCTGGGTGGCCTCTGCCGCTCCACTGCTGGCCGGCTCTGTCTTTCGGTAGTTTTTCTGTTTGGGGTTTTGTCTTTTTTCTTTTTTCCCGATACTAGGTTTTGAACTCAGGGTCTTTGCACTGAGTTATATCCCCAACCTGTTATTTATTTACTTATTTATTTTTAAATTTTAAGATAGGGTCTTGCTAAGTCACTGTGTAGCCCTCAAACTTGTAGTCCTTCTGCTTGGGCTTCCCAGGGTGCTGGGAATACAGGCACATGTCACATCCAACTAGCCATCTTTGGTACAATGATGGCACAGGACGTGGTTGCCTGAGTCTCACTGTAGGGCAAGATGGTGTTAGAGAACATGTACTGGATTAGTTTAGGCCTCTCCTGGACACAGTGGAGGGAGATGCCCAGAGAGGAAGAACCAGATTCAGCGGGGCGCTATCTTCGTGCCCCATTCCAACTGTGTTTACTTCCGTGTGGTGCGTGGGAGTAGCACATCCCAGAGACTCCTAGCATCCCACCCTCCTGAGGTCTGAAAAGACAGGAAAGGTTGAGTGCCAGAGTGGCCAGGCCAAGGCATGGGGCAGCCGTGGATGTGAGGCGAGGAGCTGCCCCGGCCATGCCCCACTCGCTGCTGTCTCCCTGCTGCAGCCCGACGAGGAGACCCAGACGGTGTTTGACATGGAGCCGAGCAGTGCATCCTCCACTCCTACCTCCCTCGTGAGTCTTGCTTTCACCCTGGGGACAGGAGGGCAGGGCCTGCAGGGGCACCTACTCTAGTGAGGATGTAGGGATGTCAGCCTTCAGTGCCCGGTGGGATTGGGGAGGAGCCGGGCTGGGCTCGGTCGTCTGACGCAGCAGGACTTGGCCCAGGTCCAAACGCTGCCGTGGACCTGGCTGAAGAGCCAGGAGCGAAGATCCAACACTGCCCCGGCAAACACTGCAAGGCCAAGTGACCCACAAAGGAGGCACCCAAAGAGGAAGGACAGGGGGACCCCGATCTCAGAGGCCACACTCGTGTAGACGCAGGGGCGTGCTGGGGCTTGGCCTCGGGACTCCGGGCTGCCTCCAGGGCGCAGGCGCAGGAGCAGACCCAGCTGCAGGGAGCTATTGGCGACGCACCGAATGGTAAGGCAGGGGCAGCGCAGGAGGAGCAAGGAGCCGAGGCTGGGCTCAGCCGGGCGCCCCGCGGGCTGGACGCGGGCTCGGAGGCCACACTGCAGTGCTGCCGCTGGTGTGCGTCGAGCTGGAAACATCTCCTGACACACCAAGTGGGAGGAGAGGGTGCCAGGTGACACAGGGCATGGGAAGAGCTGTGGAGAAAGAGGAGCAGCTGGCACCGAGGCCGCAGGAGCCTGGAGCCCGTGGGAAGGCGTGCATTTCCAGCTTGCTGCACGTGGTGACCGCCTTAGTGACTGGCAGGGCTGGGGCAGGGCCCAGACAGAAGCGGATAGGCAACACAAGGACCCCCAGGCTTGCCGCATCTGGGAAAGGACAAACTTCCGGAGAGGTAGCAGGGGAGGAGGCCAAGGCATCCTCGGGCAAGACTCACCGCCCTCCCTCGAGGAGCACTTCGCTCCTGTTGCACCCAGTTGCTGAATCTTAGGAACTGATGCTTTGCCGGTTTCTCTTTTGATATTTTTATAAACTCACACAGTAGGCGCTTTTATCCCCCACCCCAGCACGCTAGACATTTAGACCACAGGCCACGAGGCAAGGGAGAAAGAATAAAGTTTGAACCAGGTTTGTCAGAGGAGAAAGCCTGTATTTTAAACTTAAGAACACAAAACAAAGCAAAAACAAAAACAAAAAAACCCCAAGATTTATTATCTATTTATTGATTTATTTATTTATTTTTTGAGACAGGATTTCGATATGTTGGGCAGGCTGGTCTCCGACTTCAGGCTCAAGTGATCCCTCCTGCCTCAGCCTCCAGAGTGGCTGGGACTCCAGGCATGTGCCACCGGGCCCAGCTTAGAATTTTTTTAAAAAGTCTTTTATTATTATAAGAGTGGTATATGAACATTGTAGATTATTTGAGATTAAAAGCAGAAAAACAAGAATAAGAAAATAAAAACTTCATATGACCACCACCCCGATGATCCCTGATACCCTGTGTATATTCTTCCAGGTATTTATATGTGTCTCTCTTCCAAATAATTCTGTACATACATTTTGCTTATGTACACAGATAGTTACATATGTACATATAGTTTTTAAGGTTTTGTTTCTGTTTTTGTGTTTTGTGATGCAGGATTTCACTATGTAGTTCAGGCTGGCCTTGAACTCACTATGTAACCCAGGCCAGCCCAGAGCTCATGGCAATCCTCCTGCCTCAGCTTCCTGAGTTCTGGGATAACAGGAGTGTGTGTGCCACCATACCCTGCTACATATACTTTTTTTGCTAAAATGAAGTAATACTGTGCATATGTTTTTATAACCTGCTATTTTTGTTAACAGTTTTTATCTTTTTGAATATCCAGTTAATATTGGAGTTGTCCTAATTATGCCATTTTTCAATACTGGGGAGGGAATCCAGGTCCTTTACACTAAACTACATCCCCAGCCCCCTTTTTTGTGCCATTTTTAATTTTGAAACAGTCTTGCTAATTCACTGCATTGCCTGCGCTGAACTTGAACTTACAGTCTTCCTGCCCAGTCTCCCACCATTGTTCCTAGCTATAGTTTGTCCAAACCAAGATCCCACCCAGCACCTGTCCTTCCCTAACCCAACAGCTGTGCAGCCCCTACTTTGGAGCCAGCAGTTCTGCAGAACGCTGGGGACCTTCCAGCTCTATCTTCCAAATGTCTCGTGCAGATTTCCGCCATCCCTCCATTCCCTGAAACCAGATCCTCCCAAATCCCCGACAGAGTCAAGTCCAACATGGCTAGGATGGACTCCAAGGAGCGCTAGACCTCACACCAGGGAATAAGTGATATCCTCGTATTCCAATTAATGACTCTAACAAATCCCCCTACTTGGGGGGAGATGGCTGGGTTTTTCATTGTCCTGTTTTTACCTTCTTTATGACTATAAGGTCGTCATCTATACGGTTTACTTTGGTACCCTGCAAATATCTAAATTCTTTTTTTTTTTGGTAGCAGGAGTTGAACTCACAGCCTTACCCTTATCAGGCAGGTGCTGTGCCACTGAGCTATGTTTCTGGCCCCATAAATTCTTTTGTAGAAAAGTTTTCTTATTCACTGGAGCTGTTTGGTTTCACCAAAATAAATTGCAGAAAGATATAATTCTATCCCTAATTACCTATTTTTCAAAGTAAGGAGTTGCTTTGAAAGCCACTTAAAGAGTGACAGATTGCTCTTTTCCCTGGGATTCCCTGGGATTTTCCCCGGGCATTCTTGGGATCCTCTCCTGGGTTTCACAGGACACGTGGCCTAGCTCTCAGCCAGTGCTTCCCAGCTTCAGTCCTGGTTCACAGGCCGTCCTCACGACACCCCCAAGGAGCTTTGGCTGTCTTCTGACACTGTTAGCAAGGTCATTGCCTTTGCAGCAGAGGTCTTTCCAGACCCCCAGCCAGGGCAACCCTGTGTCTGCTTCTGGGTTCACCCTGTCTGGGAACCGAGAAAGAATGGATCCCGTTCTGAAGGAACAGTGGCCTAGGAGTTGGAGAGTTGGCACTAAGCTAGCCCGGGGAGCTCGTAGGTGGTCATTCAGTGACCCAGAGTAAGTAGATGGGAGAGATGGGCAGGGCGCAGCCTCCTCGGGAAGGAGGGGAAGAAGGAAGCACCCATGGCTTGGAGGGGCAGAGGTGATGGGGTGAGGGGAGAGGGTGTGCCTGGGCCTTGCTCCGAATGTGATGCTCCCCAACTCCTCTGCCTGAGCAGCTGTACGTGGCCACCGTGCTGCAAGAGCCAGAGTTGAACCTGACCCCAGCCTCCTCCCCGGCCCGGCACACCTATGGTACCATGAACAGCCAGCCAGAGGAAGAAGAAGAGAGCGGCTTGCGGGGCTTTGCAAGGGAGCTGGACTCTGCCCAGTTCCAGGAAGGGCTGGAACTGGAGGGCCAGAGCCAGCACCACTGAGCAGGACTCCAGGCAGGGGCAGGGGAGAGCTCAGCAAGGGGAGGTAAAGGGCGGCCCGGGCCTCCTTGCTCCCTCCTGCAGACTTCAGGATGCTCCGGATGCAGACATCTGCTGCTCAGCCATAGCGACGTGGAGCCCCAGCCTGCCGACCAGTTAGGATGCAGGTGCCAAGCGGTGCCCAGAACCCTGGGATGGCACAGAGGAAGCACCACTGTGTCCTGGGGAGGTGGCTGAATCCCAAGATACAGACTGAATGGGGTCAAGATGGAGGAGTGCATAAGGAAGGAGGCAGGAAGAGGCCTGCGGGACACTTTTGGGGCCTCCCTCACCCTTGCTCCAGCTGCCCTTTGAGCTGCTGCTGCTCCAGCCCCCAGGCCTCCCCGAGGTCTGAAAGGTGCTGGGCCTCACAGATAAGTCACAAGTGACTGTTGTATCCCAGGTTTTCATGCAGGAAAGCTATAGAGTCCTGGTACCCTCCCTTCCCACAGGGACAGCAAGAAGAGGAGACTGAGCCCTTTCCTCAGCCCTCCTCCCAGTCCCCAAGTGCAGCAAGGCAGCACCTTCTTTGTACTCTGATAAGGGTGGCCTGGATCCCGCCACTTGGGCTCCTTAAACAAGACCTGAGGTATGGTGAAGGAGCCTTGCAAGTTCGTGCAGGTTTGTGTAAGAGGGGACAGTACTGTAAGGTAGTACTCAGGGTGGGGCCTCTCCCCAAAAGTCTGGGTAGCGGGAAACCAGATGCACATCCCCAGCCCAGGCTGCTGAGCAGATCCCAAAGCCCAGAAGGGGGCCACTAAGAACCTGTCTGAGTGGTGGGCAGCAGCTAAGGGTAAGAAACCCAGGCTTCGGACAAAGGGTTTGGCCACTCCTTGCTACCCGAGTTGGAGTCTTCCTTGAATCTCTACGTGTCCACTAAGGATCACCTGAAAGGCCTCCAGGTGTCCCTGGCTTTCCACAGTGATGTCAACCAGCCTTGGAGGTGGCATGACCAGTGTGTTCCCCAGGGAGAAGCCCTTGCTAAGAAGGCAGGACTGTCTTCCCAGGGCGGCCTCCACCAGAAGCCTGGCAGGGCTGAATCCTGAACAGTGCTGGTGATTCTCAACACTTGTGCTGTGGTGAGGGGACACCAGCCACCACCCCTGGGATAGGCTGCCCTCCAGTTCCAGTGCAGCCCAACCAGGATAGACATGGAGGAGGGGTTGCAGGGGTCTTCAAGCTCCTGAGCCCCCCAACCCTCCTCAAGGTCTGGGTCACTCCCTGCCACTGAAGTGCTGCAGTGGCCCAGGGCCTGTCACCTCAGGCTCTGCCTTGGCCCCAGAACAGGTGGCCCTGAGGGCAGCTCACCTAGATCCCACTCTATTCCATTTTAGCCCAGCCCCCAGCCCCAGCATCTCCCTGTCTCACCCCTGCTGAGAAGGGCAGTTGGTGCTGTGCCCTCAGGTCTTGTCTCAAACTTTGCCATGGGGATCTTTCCAGAGAAGTTGGGTCAGCTGGAGGAGGCTGTTTTCCTTCTTGGCCCAGCTTGGAATAGGGGGGCAATTATACCCAGCTAGGCCTTTACACATCAGTTCCCAAGGACCCCCTCCCCTGATATTTAAGCAACAAGGGCGTAAGACCCTTTTGACCAGCCCCAGCTCTGACTAAAGTGGGGATGACCAGCTGCAGGCTGTGCCCAACCCTACAGGGTGTACTCAGTAAGTAAGGGTTTGGGGGTGCTGCCAGAGGTGCTCCTTCCCTGGGCACCACTTGTTGGCATCTCTCCCCAGTCCTGCTGCCTCCCCCTTCCCCTCCAGCCTGTGGTAGTTATATATGGCAAGGGTCCTTCAAGCAACTTGGCAAGATGGCTTGGCACACCCTCGAATCTGGGCCAAGCGCAGCCTGGTTCTGGTGTGAATTTTGGTAAAGTGCCAGTCTCTACTCGTTTTTCTCCTCTTCCTGGAGGCCTAGGGTCAAAGGCAAGGCCCCGCCCAGCCAGCTGTACCTCCATCTCCCACCATCACTGGGAATGTTGGGGAGCATCTTTTAGCTTCCCACATTCACCGCACATCCAGGCCCTCCCAGTGCACCTCCCCACCTGCCTGCTCCCCCAGCTCACACCTGTGTCACCTGTTGGCCTCTGCCTCCTGCCACTCACCCTCCCTACACTTTCCACTTATTCGATCCTTTCTGGAGGAAGCTGCCTCTTGGAGGAGTCCATAAGGCCTCGAGCCTCCTGAGACAGGCTCTCCCCAGGTCCCGCACAGACCCAGCCTTGCCTGCCTGTCCCTCAGCTGCCTCTGGAAGCAAAGTGCCTATCAGCAGCATTGCATCCTCTAGGGGCCCGGAGGGGTTGTGGACTCACCTTGGCCACCACCACTAAAGGAATGTGCCAGAAGGCTGAACCTTCTTGTTACCGATGCTGTGACTGTGCCTTCAATAAACACGTCCTCCCAGCCTCAGCGCCTGGTCTGCAGGCCGAGTGGCACGCTCGGGGTGTGTAGCTTTTGCGGCTGGGGCCGGAGCCGCTCCTTCTGGGATCCGGAGGCCCTCCTTGCCCTTGCCCTCATGGCAAGTGCTGCCTGGTCCGCTAGAGAAGGTAGTGGCACTGCCTCGTGCGTATGCTGAAGTGAGATTCTTCAGCACAGAAGCCCCTGGGTGGGTGCTCGGCCCTGTGAGAGGGCCTTTGACCTAGGCCAGGGCCTGGTGGAGGCCCAGAGGTGCCAGCAGATGGGGTTTAGGTGGAGATTGCCATGGGGATTTTGTGCCTGGTAGGGACAAGAAAGGCAAAGAGAGGGTGGGCATCAGGGGGGTCCCTGGGCGGCCAGGTCAGGAGTGAGCAGGACAGGAAACGCTGTTAGCAAAGGCTGTAACACCTGAGGCAAGGCGGCAGAAAAGTTGCCTTCCCCAGGGACAAGTCTCAGCCAGCTGGGTGCCCAGGGTTGGGCAGCTCATCCAGAAAGTAGGAGTGGGTGGGTAGCATTAGGGCTCATGGCAGAGTAGAGGGCCTGAGTTCAAAAGCACAAAACAAAAACGGGCGGTGGGGGATGGTGAGATAGCTCAGTGGACTAAGTGCATGCTCTGGCAAGCACAGGGACCAGGGTTCGATCCCCAGTCCCGCATGCCATGACCGCATTGCCCCCTGGGTGCACTAAGCCAGTGACCATGGCACATGCTTGTAATCCCAGTAAACCAGGGAGGACATGAGGGTGACATTCTGCCCTGTTACTGAACAGAACAGCTTCTGCTGGAGAAGCTGAGGTGGAGGACAGGTGTGTGAAGTGGGAGGCCTCTCTCCCACTGCTCCCTATGGGGACAGAGGACAGAGCAACTGCTTAGGGACTGCTGGACACAACCACCCCTGCTCGGCCTTCTCTTTCAATCCAGCAGTGGATGTGTGAGCTTGGGCCCATTCCCCTGTCCCCTCGTCCAGCAAAACAATTATTTTCCAAGGCAGTCTGGATGAGATCCACCAAGGGCTGCTCAGAGGAGAGGTTGTGAAGTTCCCCTGCCTGGACAGGAGGAACGCAGCCTGCAGCCTGGTGGGGTGGGCATGGCTGCTGAAGGAAAGGAGCCTCTTTCAGGATTTCAACTCCGACCCACCTGCTGCCCCAGGGCCTTCGCCCAGAGGCCTGCAGACTCCACCCAGGGTCCTCAGGTGCAGGCCCTAGGCCAGTCCTTGAGTCAGCAGCAGGGACTTAGCTAGGGGAGAGATAGGCCAGAGAAGACAGACAGGCTTAATTTGGGGGTAGGGGGTGGACCTGGCTGAGGTGTCTCCACCCAGAGGGAGGGAAGGGCTGGGACTTGCAGGGGTGCTGCCCAGCTGGGTAAGACGGGCAGGCCCAGGGGAGCCTTTGGCCCTCGACGCTGGCCTTCATGTCCACGGGGACCTTGGAATGTCTGACCCAGTACTATAATGGCCCCTCCCAGCCCAGCAAGAAGCCCGAGGGCTGTTCCCTTTGCACAGTTCCCAGCCCCCTCCCAAAGCCTTCAAGCTCAAGGGGAGACCACTCAGGTCTGTCCTTCTGGAAGAGCCTCGGGGTTGCAGGTTCCTAAGTCACTGCATGGAAGGCCCGGGGTGGCAGGGCAGAGCTAGGGATGGGAAGAAGCTCCCAGGTGGCCCAACTGAGCATCCCACTTGATGCTGGTGTCCCACAGTCCAGGGTTGTGCAAGGCTCAGCCCTGAATAAGCCAATGCTTCTGGGATGGTGTCCTGTCAACTCTAATCTATGGGTGACTGGTGCTCAGTGAGCAGGAGGGAGGAGAACAGCCCAGGCTCAGGTGCGACGGGGGCTCAAGGCAGAGACTCAGCACCTCACCCGGCTTGGGCTCCTAAGTGGCAAGTACCCAAGTGGGGTGTAGCTTCTGGTGTTGTGGTCTGTCACTGTGAGAAATACAACTAAGCTTGGCCTGGTGGCACCTGCCCATAGTTCCAGCACTCAGGAGGCTGAGGCAGCAGGATTGCCTTGAGTTTGAGGCCAGCCTGGGCTGTATAGTGAGTTCAAGACCAGGCTAAGCCACACAATAAGCCCCCATCTCAAAAATAACAGCAACGACTAATATGTTTGGACCAAGGAGCATTCTCAGGCCCCAGGGGGAATTCTGCCTGCCTTGTCACCTTCTGCACCGCTGTGAAGAATCCTCTCTTCCCTCCCCTCCAAACGCAGGGCCCAGGGTGGCTTTCTTTCATGATATCCTGGTCATTCCTATGCCACAGAAGGCTGTGAGTACAGTAAACATGAGTTATATGATGAGGCATCAGCCAGGGATCAGTGCTTTGAAGAAAGAACGAAGCATCCTGAGGGCAGTGGAATGCTGCCACATTTACAGCTTTACACACTACCCTCTCAGGGGCACACTGCCCGGCCTCCCAGGCCTTCTGAAGTCAGGGTGGATGCTTTCATAACCCGTAAAGCATGCACCTTTGCATGCACCTAAAACCAGCACCAAGTGGATAATGCAAAGGTCTGCTGCCAGCTGGAGTAGTAGCCAGCTTTCCTTTCTCTTGGCTGTAGGGGCCGAGTGCCTAGATCACTGGGCACTCTGAATCCGATTCTTATTTATTTATTTGATACAGGGTCTTGCTATTGGGACTCATAGTGATCCTCCTGTCTCAGCTTCCTCAGGCTGGGATTACAGGCATGCACCACCGCACCCAGTTTTGGACCTGACATGGTGGGCCTGGGGTTACAGGGCTGGCACAGCATACAATACTTGGATTCAAACTCAGGTCCTTGCACTTGCCAATCAGGTGCTTAGACTGGTGAGCTATCTCCCCAGCCCCTGAATCCAATTCTGAGGAGCAAAATTTCTATGCTGCTGCCATTCTGGTAAATGATGTTCTATGGTTTGCTCCTCAGAGAAAAGTCTCATCTTTGCAAAGAGTAGAAATTTGCTTTTTCTTGCAATGCCCTCAGCCCGTCTTTTATATTCTCCTGTTCCTTCACAGTAGTTAAGATCTCCTTGCTCTATCGCTGCAGTGCACAGTTTTGCTGGAGCTCCCATTCTGGCCAAACTCACAACATTTTAAATTATCCTGTTGGGCTCTTTGCTCTTGATTCCCAACATAGATCTGGCTAAAAGCTCACAACAATAGCCATGCCACTGCCTTAACATTTGACTGCCTTGAAATTTCTTCTACCAGTTTAAGTAGTCCACCATCCTTAATTTCAGTCTCAGGCAAAATCTTTGGACATGAGCAAAATGCACACAAACTTTCTGCCAAGTCACACATCATCTGGAGTCCAGCAGCTAATGTAGTCCTTCTTCCCAGCAGAAACCTCCTGAGCCTGGTCTTTACCAGTTTTCTGGTCTTCTGAGCTCTGACCAGTCTCCCATACAGAACAGCTTATGGCAGTTCAACTCTACTCTTTTAGGCAACATCTCCAGACCTTTCCAAATTCTTCCCACAAGCCATTCCCAAAGACTCTTGAACACAGGTACAGTCTCAGCAATAACCCCACTTCTCTAGTACTAAATTCTCTATTGGTTACTTTTACTCTTGCTGCTTTTTCTATCTTCTGCTGCTCTAAAGTATCACCCCTATGCCATGTCACCCTGCCTTCAAGACAACTGATTGTGGACTGAAAACTCTTGATTATGGACTGAAACTGTGAGCTAAGTAAACCTCTCTTTCCTTAATTTGGGTGTTGTATATTTTGTCTCAGCAGTGAGAGAAAAGTAACTAAGACAGATGGTCTTCATCTTAATACAATAAAAGCCAATCTATGACAAACCAACAGCCAACATCATACTACATAGACAAAAATTGAAAGCTTTCATCTAAAATCAGGAACAAGACAAAGATGCCCACTATCATCACTTTTATTCAATATAGTTCTGGAAACATTTCCAGAGTGACTAGAAAAGAGAAAGAAAGGAATAAGGATAGAAAAAGAAGAAATTAAATTATCATTATTTGTGGATGACATGATAGTCTACACAGAAATAAAACTCCACCAAAGACTTCTAGACATAAGAATCAAATTTAGTAGCTGGATAAAAGGCCAATACTCAAAAGTCAATAGCATTCCTGTACTCAAACAACAAACTCACTGAAAGAGAAATTAATGGAACCACAACTTTCATAATAGCATTCAAAAAAATGAAATACCTAGGAATCAATTTAATGAAGTAAAAGACCTTTATAGTGAAAAGTACAGCACTTTAAAGAAAGAAAATCAAAGATTATATCAGAAAATGGAAAGATATCCTTTGTTCTTGGGTAGAAAGAACCAAATATAGTGAAAATGGCCATACTTCCAATATTGTTATACAGATTTAATGCAATCCTGATCAAAATGCCAATAGCATGTCAGATATGGTGGCATATGCCTGTAATCCCAGCACCTGGGAGACTGAGGTAGGAAGATTGTTGTGAATTTGAGGCTAGCCTGGGCTTCATAGTGAGTTCCTGTTTTTAAAAAATAGAATTGGAATTCACAGAATTAGAGAAAATAATCCTAAAAATTCATTTGGAACTAGAAGAGACCTAGAATAGTAAAGGCAATTTTAGGCAACAAAGACAAGGGAGAGGACATCACAATCCCTGACTTGAAATTATACTACAAAGCTACTGTAATAAAAACATCATAGTACTGGGAAAAAAAAACAACAACAGAACCTCGGATCAGTGGAACCGATTAGAAGATGCAGAAACAACTCTAAACACACCCCGCCACATTATCTTTGACAATGGAGCCAAAACTTTTCACTGAAAGAAAAACAGCCTCTTTAATAAATGGTGCTGGAATCCACACTACAAAGATTAAAGCTAGATCTTTCACCGTGCACTAAAATAAAATAAAAATGGATCAAAGATCTAAATATTAAAACAGAAACACTCA